GCTGTCAATGCAGGTGGTTGAGGTTTCCTCCGGGGCAGGCTGGGCTGGGAGACTACTCCTGTGACCGGTACATGCCGGAAGCCAGTGGGGTGAACAATGCTGGCGGCTTGCTCCCCTCCGGCACAGAGGCACCACGGTTGACAAGGCAGTCTCGTAATGGCATAGTCTAGCTGCGCGCCCGTGCCGTCGGGGCGCAGAAAAGTGCTTGCCCGGGCGCCACCACGAATTCATGGCAGTGAGGCCATTCTGGCAGACGATGCGCTGAAACTCGTCCTTATCCTGATGCGGGGTCGTAGAACTGTCTGTAACCCCAGTACCTATGTGTGGAGCTTGCCGGGCCAGGGTACTATTAAAGTCTCCCAGCAGTAGCAGCTGGTTACGGCGAGGAACGCCAGCAATCCATTGCTGCATAGCGAAGGCTGCAGCAAAGCCTGGATTCTATCCGTGGCGGAGCCTTGTAGGCGTTTGTTGTGCGGGTTCCATGCCACTTGGTACACTCCTAATAAGTCCATAGGTGGTTGTGTGTCAATGCGAACATGGAGGATCCTGCCTGCAACAACTTCACAGTGCTTAATCTGATCCGCACGCGCTAGACTGGAGTGTATCATGAATAATACACCTCCTTCTGCTGTACCTAACCCCGAATGAATGCAACTCCATGGACCTGATTGGAATTCAGAGCTTTGGGCCCACTTCGTTTCCTGTATGCGCACGATGACCGGCGCACCACGGCTGTGTACATGACGGATCGTGCAACCACGCTGCCGCGTTGAGGCCTCCACTGTTCCAACTCATAAAAGGTAGGTGGGCTCGGGCACACGCGTAAGATTGCTGGTGCGCGCTACTGTGGCTATTGCTTCCAACCCTTCCTATCCGAATCGCAGAGAGGCTACGGAGGTCATGCTGCTGGCCACGGTACCTCGTGCTGCCGTGCTGCAGAGCCCGAATTTGTGCACGGCGGAAAGCTCGTTTGCGAGCAGTGGTGAGTTGGGACACTCGCTGGCCATGAGCAGTCATATATGAGGCTGTTGGCAGGCCAAGAGAGAAGTCAAAGAGGCGGTGGAACCGTCTGAAGGCGGAGGACGCGGCCTCCTTGAACCAGCCAATGCGGACGGTGTTATTCCATTGCCTATTGACTGCGTTACGCAGCCGCCTCCGCAACATGGAGACCGACACGGCAATGTGCCTCAAGGCGCGAGAGATGGGGTTGACGGATGGAACGAGTTACCTTTATCTCAGATGGAACTCGAAGGACCAGCGGTACGAGCCGGACACGCAGGAGCCTCTCCCGCATGCCAAAGCCATGGAGATCGTGGAGTTCCTGGTCCAACTCACCGCCTTCCAGGACACGGTGGGGAAGTTCCACCCGCTGAGGAAATTGATTCAGACCATGGAGAGCGAGGTCATCCCCTTCTCCTTGCAGGTGCAGAACAGGAGCCAGGAGGCCCACCAAATGTACTGCTTGATGAGGCGGTTATGCCGCAATGGATGCATGCACTTGATTGGCGCCACCGCCCGCCCAACCCGCCTCGGACGGAGCCCACTGGCGATGCACATCGACCAGCTACTGCAGTCTATCCAACGCTGAAGTGCACCGAGGCACAGTAACCCGTCAGTTCACTGTTACGCAAATGCTGTTCTAATCGCCCTCCTTTGGCTAATCACCAGGCTAACTCATGGATTGAGCATCCGCCGCGATTTTGGGAGGTTTGCAGGTTGGCTCCTCAGAAGACCGCAAAGCGTTGCCTTATGGCATGCGCCCGCCTGGATCAGACTCATGCAGGCTTGGACAGCCTCATAGACAGCATGACGCTGCTGACTATCTTCATTTTCTGAGCAGCACTTCTTGTCACCCGATGTAGACGGGTTCTGGGCAGCTAGGTTAACGGGTCCAGGTGCGTCACGTTCCGACCCCATGCCGTCGCAACAGGTGGGTGATCACGGACAAGTGTGGCCCATTCATCTCAGCGTTGCCGATCCCTCAGTCCCACAACTTAGCCTGCAAAAGTTGTTCATCCAGTGGCGAAATCAGGCCCAGCGGCATGCGCTCGTGACTGCTCCCGCGGCAATGGTTGTCCAAATCGGCAGATTTAGGGATAACGGGGAAAAGGTTGAGTTCCGGATCCACTCTAGTAATACGGTTTACATCCCCACCTTCTGCAACCGTAGTCTGCAGACAACGTCACATGCATATATAGTGCAAGCTATTGTTTACCATCTTGGACGCTCCAGAGCCAGCGGCCACTACAGAGCTGCGCTTTTGCATCAGGGCAGTCTGAGTCGAGTCACAGACGATGGCCAACCTTCGACTTCAGTGTCTGCAACTGACATTCCCACGATTGAGTGTAATGCATACCTTTACTTTCTCAGCAAACGCATTGACTTAGAGTGACCGATGATCTGCTGTGTGCTGGCCCATCTCTGAAAGAGTTGGCTAGCCTCTTTTTGATTTCTTGATGGCCTTGACCGGCTGGGGTTCACTGCTTAAGGGGCGGACACGCCGGGTGACCCATGCCTCGCTCACACTGTTGGTTTTACATAGCGGTTTCTGCTATCTCAGTTGTTTTCTGATTCTATTGTTGTCCCATCTAGCTCTACTCCTATTGCTTACGCTTTCCTCTTTTAATGCAGCAGGCACAGCTGGTCGGCATGCAGAGTTCCTTTTCATTGGGGTGCCCAACAACTACCGGGTATGCGCCCTTGAGGTGCCGATCGCAATGATTGCCCTTCGACGCATCGCGAGACTCCCTTGCGGCGGTGTGAATGAATATATACACGCATATTTTTTGAAGGATCAGGGGCCAAACGTGCACACTGAGATATGCCGAATTGCACTCAGACCACGTGGGACCAATCATCACGGATGTACAGAACGAGTTGCTTGTCTAGTATCCTAGTGCTCTGTCCGATGTTTAGTTTTGACTCTGAACTAATATTCAACGCGTATTTGCTTTGCGTTATTGTATTTACATAGGACTGCCCAATGAGAAACTTAGTTTACAGCTAACAGCTGTCCAAACAGTCTCCCGATGCGTGGTTCATGGCCATTTCTGAGCCACGTTGATATATTCATTTATCGTTTCACGAACATGTTTAAACCTGGTCAAAATTCACGCAGTATTCTACGATGCTTAGTCGCAGGTACATTTCAACATAACTTATGTGTAGTGAGTACTTAGAAACCCACCCATGTTTACCTGATGATTAAGCCGAGTATGCATTGTTGCTTAGTCAATGCTTAGTCTGGGTTACCTAGGTCCTAGGTACTGCCTTGATGTTTTATGCAACTGCCAAGTCACCTTCTATGAACAGTGGCAATGATAGGCCAAAAATCAAATGCGGAATGCTGACATGATGTACACAACGTGTTGAGACATAGTTGCTGCTGGAGAGACGGTCCTGTTCATCCACAATCGGAGGTAGTACTTATAACTCCTACCTATGTAAAGTTACGCGCAGAAACTTAGATCACCTGTACACATATTCATATCAGCACGTTTACTGGCAGGGAAGCGTTTGTCAGTTTCAATTGAATACTTCGAGGTTGTGGCTAGTTTCAGGTTTGCACAACTGGCGAATGTCATCTTCGTTGATGCTTGAAAATATTTATTCACATTTGCTTGAAATGAAGTGCCCCGATGAGGGTCGGATGTGCAAAGCTTGTTTAGGGCTTAGTCTGCGCGCCTTTTTCTGGAGCCCACATGGCGCGTATGACTACCTTCCATCGAGATGGACGGGTCTTTATTTCTGGAAATGTGTTCCCTTTATCGGAAATGAAAACTTTCATGGGGAGTTCGTGAAGTTTGGATACCTTTCACTTGTGAAACATGTTTGACATGTCTCTCCATGTGCATGAGTGTTGGATCATGAACATCCGAACACAGCTTTGGCTTGGAAGCGAGATCTGGAATTTTATTGTGTGGGGGCTCTCTAAAGGCCTGTGGCTCCTTGCTACCAGGCTCTTGGCCCCTACTCCGGTGTTGTAGGTTCGGCTGCTGTCATGTCTTCGGACACTGAGTCCGCCCGGCGAGCGGACTTGCAGCCGGCTGCAGCACTGCCCGAGGCTGCGCTTCCTGAAGCCCCTGAGGTAGATGCGTCTTCTGGCGGGGAAGCTGCAGTGGAGGGCCGCAGGATGGCTGCGGATCTTCGGCGTCTTCAGCATCCTCAGTGGCATCCAGAGATTGCTGCGCATGTTTTCTTCTATCGTGACAACGTCTTGGAGGCAATCGGCACCTGCGCTGGGTCTGATACAATCAGTGCCATCGCCAACAATGGGAGTGCTACCTGCGCCATGGAGGGTGACCGTCTGGAGGGCTGGCTTCTGGATCATGTCTCGGTCTACCTGAGGTCTTCGGGCTCCCGCCGTTCTTTTGGTACCACGATTGAGCAGCGTGCCGAGGACAACCTTTGCTTGGTGCGCGGGCTGGTTCTCTCCGGTGCTGGCTTCGCTCGGCGCATGGCACGGCGCCGCCGCAGTGGCCGCCTCTGACGGCTCTGAATGTCAGTGATTTGCGGGTCCTTTAAGGGGTTGTTTTTCTTCTCCGGGTCCTCTGATGCATAGACATGGCTTCGCTTGTGTGCTTTTGCCTCGCGAATGGTTCTGATCCCCGAGACGATCGCCTTGAGCGGCGGGCTCTTGCCGAGGCACTTCGCTGGGCTGTGCTTGGCAGTTTTGAGTGCTTCCATGGGCTGCCTTTTGATGCCTTTCGGCTCTGCAGGGGTCTTCCTTGAAGGTGGCCTCTTCTTAAACATTGCATGTGTACTTTAGCACGTGCATAGCTCTCGCGTGTCTTGCGCGTTGTTGTGCAGCATTCCTGCGAATGCCTGCCGGAGCCTTTCATAGAAGGGCTCTTGAGCGATGTTGTCATCGCGCCGAGAAAAACGAGGGTTTGCGAGGCGAGCCCTGCAGTTCTTGGTTGCTGTCTGAGCAGCACCGTTTTGTCCGCATTGACACATGCTCTTTCAACTTTTTCCCCTGCAGCCTTGTGCCTCCAGCTGACATGGATGCACGTGGGGAGATCATGGAAGCCATCACAACATTGCACGAGCGTGTGGATCATGTCAACATGAGGGTCAACCAGCTCGTGTACCAGCTCAATGCGCTGCTGGCTCAGTGTTCTCTTCTGCGCCGCCGCGTGCAGCAGCTTGAAGGCCTGCCCGAGAATACTGATGACAATCGTCCCCAGCCTGTGCCTGTCGACTTCCAAGCTCTTGACTAGCTGCTGCTTAGGTGGTGCTCCTTTTTTTGCAAAACAGGGAAGCATTGCCCGCCGTGCCTGCCAGTGCCATGCAGTCTCATGCATCAAGTGGTGAGCCGTGCCAGCTGCATCCTGCCACCCATCATTGCTCAAAGCAGGTGCTGTCTTTTCTTGCAGGCATGCCGTCTGCGGGTTCCTTGGGGGTGAAGAGGCGCAGACGACTAGAGCCTGCTGACCCCGAGGAGCTATCTCGAAATCTTGATCGCCTTGTTGCTGAAGCTGCCATCACTTGTGTTGAGACAACCACCGCTTTGCCGTGGGACAAGAAACCTTTTCGGGATGTCTTCAAGCCTCAGGCCATGCCAGCTGTGATCCGGAACGTCCCCGACCTTGCTGCCAAGGTACTGATGCGTCCTGGCCAATCCCCGAGGGAGATCCAGCCATCATCGGTGCCAAGCAAGCCCGCTCCGATCTTCGAACAAGTTCTGGTTAAGCCTCGTTTGGTGACTGGCGCTCGTAAGGCTGATGATCGCGAAGGGGCCATTCGGCGTTGGCTTTGCATCTTGAGCCATAACTTCGAAGCATCGAAGGTTGGTCGCATGTTGGCCGCTGCTGGAGATGATGGTGCCGAGACCCTGAGCCAAACGCTGGCCGGGAAGGCTACAAGTACCTTGCTGAAGCGAGCCAGGACATGTGCCCGCTTTGTCTCCTGGGGACATAAGAATGGGAAGACGGTCTTTCCGATTGAGTTTATGGTGCTGAGGGCTTTTCTACAGCAATTCTTGAAAGTGGAAAACGAGAGTGCCATTAACGACATCGTGTGCACCATCAACTTTTTGTTCTATGTTCTGGGCATGGGAATCGAGGAGGGTCTTCTTGACCACCCATGGGTCAAGGGTGTCCTTCGGGGAATTGGAACCACGGTTGCAAATCGGAACCCATCGCGGGTGCTTACCGTCATGGAGGTGCTGCGGATGGAAGAGACCCTCATAGAAGGGGGTCTCGATAAGGTGGACAGATTTGCACTTGGAGTGTTCCTTTTCCAAGTCTACGCAAGGGCCCGAGTGTCAGACTTGCGGAGCATCAGTCGGATCATCATTGACATCAGTCATGGTGTGGGCTACATCGAAGTCCAGACCTTCGAGCACAAAACAAAGAGAATCACCAATGCATCCAATATTGCATTGCTGTTGATTGCCCCTGTGAAGGGCCTTGCTTCCAAGCCTTGGGGACTCGCGTTCATCAGTGCCACGCAGGAGGTTGGTATCAACTTCCATATTGGTGTTCGAGGGCCCTTGCTGCCAAGGTTGACTTGTGACTATGGTTTATCAGGAGATGCAGTGGGGTCCTCTGAAACCACCAAGTGGGTCAATGCCCTTCTTGATCGTGTGATGAAGACTCCAGTTGAACAGTTGCTCGGGGCTTCACCTCGCAAGGGCTGAAGGCGACGACGCTGTCGTGGATGGCTAAGGCCGGATACCCAGAGGATATCCGCCGAGTGCTTGGTCACCACAGCTTGGGTGGTGGCAAGCGGACTCTTGAAGCATACTCCAGGGACGTGCAAGCCGCACCTCTCCGATCCTTCGAGGAGTGCCTGTCATTCATCCGGTCAGGCAATTTTCTCCCTGATCTGACTCGATCAGGGATGGTCAAAGGGGACTTGAAGCTGTGTGCCACTCCTCTTGAGCGGTTCCAGGCAGCGGTGCGACCCCCCAGGCGACGGTCGTTGATGCAGCCTCGGTGTCCAATGAGATCGAACCCGAGCTCCCGGACTCTATTGGAGTCGGCGAAGTGGCTGCCAATCCCGGCGAGTCACCAAGCTTTGAGCTGGCAGGTGGCAGCGCAGGGGCTGACGAAAGTTCCGGTGGTTCTTCTGATAGCAGTTCATCCGGATCAAGTGCCAGCGGAAAAGACCAAGAGTTTGCACGCACGTGTCAAAGGGTCCACGGGAAAACTGATTTGCGGGCGTTCGGCTGAAGGCCTCACCCCGTTCAAAGGAAAGGTTTTCTCTCGGCCGTGGAAGTGCAAACAGTGTATGATGTCTCGCCCTGTCCGTGACACTAGTGGCATGGTGTCATTCCTCGAACGAGCAGCATCGCGCAAGCATTGAGTGCTGTGTGCAATTGCTGGCGAACCTTTGGCCTGCTGCCCCTTACCACGGTGAAGGAGCAGTCAGACAGCGATGCAGAATCGTTGTGTGCCGGAAGGGGAGCAACTATTCAGGAGACAGCCTGCGCTGGGGGAAGGGCCGAGAATGACTTTTGTGACTGCTGCAGTCAGTCGTCTGTCAGGTTTCAGCGAAACCGTTCGTCGTGCTCAAAACTGGAGACTTGAGCAGATACATGCTGTTGACAGCGTCTGTTTGTATCCTGCGGACTTGGATACTCGACCGCTAGTTTTTGGTTAGCCGCAGCCCCGCGCGACCTTGATCATGGCGAGCCTCCTCACTGATTCCGAGGCTGTGCTACGGGAACGTGCTGCGCGAGTTGGCTTGCCTCAGGCTGCGATTGATCGCTTGATCGCCCAGCACATAACCACACTCGCCAAGCTTGCGTTCGCTCCCGGGCAGCCAGGCGAGCAGCCCACCGATGATAAGCTCAAGGCCCTCATCAAGATAGGTGACGACGAACCCTCCTTGGGCGCGGTTGCGGCGATTCGCCACCTCGTCTTCGAGGCCCAGACGGTAATGATCAGCCAGACGAAATCCCTGGTAGAAAACAAGGAGGACGCCATCAAGGAGGTGCCACCTGCTGAAAGGCGTGAACGCATCAAACAACAGGCGGTTCGCCTGCAGGGGCTCACCTTGAAGGGCAACCTCGAGTGCTCGTACGCGAGCTATGATCTCTGCATGAAGCTTCAAGTGGAGAATGTGGTTTCCTATCTTCCCCCGAGCAAGTTCACTACTCGCACGAGTGAGTTGAAGCTTGAAAAGCCGAAGAAAGAGCTTGACATCCAGGCCTCCCAGGTGGTCCTCCGCGATCCTGCAGTGGATCAGACATGTGATGTCAACACCTCGTTGAATCTCCACCTTGCCCTGCAACGGCGAGCCCTTGCTCTGGACTTAATTGGCTTGGCTACTTATGGCAAAGCCCAAGCCTACAATGAAGCCACTTGCACGAGGATGCTGCCGCAGGCTTCCGCAGTACAACCATCCAGCAACTCTTGCTGGCCGATCGCGCCGCCTGGCTGAGACTGTCTGAGTTGACCCCGGATGGCATCCGCAAAAATCCTGATGGGAGCCTGCCTCTTGATCTGCTGTGGCCTGAGTTGGAGCTTGACCCCAAGGTAGTCTTCCACTTGCTCCCTCAGCCGGGGGGCACGAAGCGCCCCCCCCCTGGAAACCCAGATAAGTGTGAGAGTCCCAAGAAGCGCCTGCGCCCGCCGGGCAAAGGCGCTGGCAAAGGCAAGACGTTCAAGGAGCCAAGCAATTGTCCCGAGGAACTCCGTGGGCATATGAGCTTTACGAAGACTGGCTGCTGGAACTTCAACATGGCTTGCGGTTGTTCCCAGGCGAAGGTTGGTCAGGACTGCCCCCGCGGCAGCCATACCTGCATGCGCTGCGGCGGCCATCACGGGGCTTCCTCCTGCCCCAAGAAACCAGCAGCCTGACAGGAAAAACCAGCGAATGGGCCCCGAGCAGGTGTGTCAGCCTCTGTGGAGGATGCTGACTTGCCGTGTTTTCCACCCGAACCCCCCCCCAGACAGTTGATCCCGAACCCGTGTGCTCGGCGCCACTGCCGTCCCTGCCACCCTCGCCCCCTAAGGTTCGTAAACCTCCTCCCAAGCCCGTTCGTTGGCCTGCTGCTTCTCAGCGCGTGGCTGAGAATGTCAATCCTGACCTGGTGCCGGCTTCCCCCGCAGGGACAAGCCCCAGCCTTAAATCCGTTAAATTTTCACATGGCATCGAAGTGTTTGCCGGCTCCGGCCGATTCGCGGCAGCCTTGCGTGCCGTTGGGCTGCAAGACTCTTGTGGTGTGGACCATCGCGTCCCCAAATTCTCCCCATGCCCTATGGTATACGCCTTGACCTTACCCGTGACGCGGACGTTCATTTGCTGCATGACATGATTTCAAATCCTCATTGCGTGTACGTGCAATTTGCACCTCCTTGTGGTACGAGCTCTAGGGCTCGCCTCGTCCAAAGGTCACCTCAGGACCCCAAGCCGTGCCGTTCCGATAGCCACCCGGACGGGTTGCCTGACCTCGACGAGCCGCTTCAGCGTCGCGTCGATTCAGCTAATGTTCTCTATCGCGTGACTGCTGAAGCCATCGTTCTTGCAGTGCGCCTGGGCCGCCTCGTCAGCTGCGAAAACCCACACAATAGTTTCATGTGGAAGACGTCCCACTGGCTGCAACCCACGATGGGCCTCGAGCTTCGGCGCAGCGTCTTTGATCATTGTCAGTACGGGTTGATCAACTGTCTTTGCGCTGCCCGGGAGAGAGCGCCAACCATGCCCACCTTCCTTGGGGCCGCATTAATCGTGTCCAATATGCCACCTCCGAGGAGACGGCCTACCCACTTGGCCTCTGCCGTGCCATGGCCGACCTGCTTCTCTCCGAGCTGCAGGCGCGAGGCTTCCAGCTTCCGCCTCGGTCGCTGGCCGAGCCGCTTTCAAACTTGCACCATGCTGCTCAAGTCGCCCTTGGTGCGCAACCCCGTGGCAAGCGTGTGCCGCCTATGGTTTCTGAGTTTCGGTATCGTTCTTTGAATACCTGGAAAAGATAGAGCTATTGTTCAAAGAAAAACAACAACGAGAAAAAGTTTCAGAGAACTGATAATTTTCAAGATGTTGTTTTAGTGCTTGCCTTTTTCTCCGCTGAACATTCCGGAACACGTTTTCTTTTCATGCATGTGAACGATAACATGGCATGATGGCTTTAACTGAAGACTTGCTCCGCTGCAGCAAGACCTCTCGACGGGCAGGAAGCCCGGGCTGGGAAACAGTAGATTTTATTTTGAAACCCCACCCTCGCCGCCCTTTTTCTAACTGACTTCTCCCTGTTTCAGGTTTTTGGTAGCAGCTGACGATGGCTGCTGTGACAGTAGTCTTTGCTGAGGTACCTGTCAGGCGAGTTTGTCAGGTCTTTGAGGAATGCTGCCGGTGGCTGCCTTGGCACATTTCTTCACCTTTGCTTCGGTTGCAGGCGTCTCGCTGACAGGGCGTTTGCTAAGGTACCGATTCTGAGCCGGGCACGGCTTGAGAGTGCTTTAGTTTACCCCGCCGGGGGACAAAAGAGTCTTGTGTCTCACAGGACTTCTGAGATCGGATCTGCCGTGTTCGGTACTGATTACCCCACTGTGTGAAAAGAAACCTCGCTTGAAGAGTCGTCTGAGAACGCCTGCTGTCTTGAAAGCGTTCGATACCTGAGTGCTCAAACATGTTGGCATGAAATGCGAAGTTGGGAACAACAAGAGAAACATGGTACAAGCACGGTCTTAGAACAATAACGTCATTGTCTCCATCGACAGCCACAGTGACTTCGCGCCCCATGGTACTAAGTTTGACCAGCCTATCCCCGTGCCGCCCGAGGCCCGCTGCGATCACGATATTTCCTTACTGCCATCCGGCTCTAGGGTTCTGCGGCGTCTTGCGCTGGGGGGTAGAGAGAGCCCCTCGAACCCTCCAAGAACACTTGAGAATGCCACCTCATGTGATTCTGCTGAGCAACACGCTGAGATGTGTCTGGCCAAGCCCACCATTTCCGAACAAGACGTGCTATTGCTTTTCTCCTTCTTGAAGACTGAGAAAGCTGCCCGAGGAGTAGGTAAGTCTGATGAATTTTCTTGGACCACCGGCCTTTTCGTTCATGCCAACACAGTGGGCCTCAGAAGGAACTTCAGGTCACATCCTAAGGTGTCGAAGATGCTCGCCAGATTCGTACATCAGCGAGCCCCAGGACACCCGTTTACATCTGTGTTACTTGCTCGAAACCTTCGAGGTGGAGTGCATGTTGATCGCAACAATGCACCTGGCTTTCCTAATTGCATTTTGCAACTGTCTGAGTTCAACAGTGGTCTGTGGATGGAGGCACCAGATGGGTCCATACCCTGCCCTGACGCCTCCCAACCTCAGTTGCGGGGAAATGTCATCAAGTACACTGATCGTCGGATGTTCATTGACCCCTTGGTGGCCCACTGTCCAATGCCGTGGCATGGCGGTCCTCGGGATGTTCTGATTGCTTTTACGACGAAGTGTTTCGACACTGTGCAGCCCTTGCTCCGCCACGAGCTTTCGGCCTGCGACTTCCAGGTACCTGTGTCACTGGACTTAGACAACCCTGAACCCCCCTCTTGTGGTTTAGTCTCTCCCCCTAAGCCTGAGGTACAACCCCTTGGCTCTTGCTTTGGGTTCAGAACTGTGGTAGGGATCCCATGGACCCCTGACGAGTTTATCCACCAGGCGTTAGCATCAGGTCACCCCCGGCACATGACGGCCTGTCTTCCGCCTGAATTGCAAACTACAATCGACCGTGCCGCAGAGGAGTCACCTGCATCGATTGGCAGCCACAGAACTTGCACCCTCCGAAAGTGGATCGGGAAGGCCATTGACCTGGCTTCTTCCGAGGAAGACTTCAAGTCTGAGCTGCCTGAACATTGTCAAGCTACCTTGTCAGGGAAGCGGATCCTGCTTTTCCGTGAGCTTCTTCTTGAGGCGGAACACCCGGACGTTGGGATCGTGCAACAAATGAGCCATGGCTCTGATCTCCTGCAATCCCCAACTGCCCCGAGTTCCGGGCCAAGAGGACCAGTGCGTCACTGTCCATGCAAGACCTGAGGCAGTCGGCGACTGAACTTCGGAAAGGGATCATCAACTCTACCCGTAGCTCTGGCGACCCGGAGGTTGACCAGGGCACTTACACTGCCACTCTTGACGAGGTCGAGCGTGGCTGACTTGTGGGACCACTTCCCATGGATTGCCTTGACGAAGGGTCACTGGTGACCCGCAGGTTTGGTGTGAAACAGAACGGAAAAATCAGACCGATCGACAATTACTTGGAGAGCGGATTGAACTCCACTGCCTCTGCCTCTGACACCATCACCCTGCACTCTGCCGACAGCATTGCTGCAGGCCTAGGATACCGCTTGCAACGCGACGGCAAATGCATCACCAACCGGCTGCTGCTCAAGGCTTGGGACCTTCATAAAGCTTACAAGAATCTACCCTTGTCCTTGGAAGTGCTCAAGGATAGCTACCTTATTGTATATGACCCGGACCTCCCAGGGGGTCGACTCTTCCACCAAAGGGTGCTGCCGTTCGGAGCGCGACACAGCGTCCACGGCTTTTGCCGTGTATCACTGGGCTTGTGAAAAATTCTTGTCTGCCTTTTATGGGTTCACATCAGCGTCTACTTCGATGACTACGTTTCGGCTGAGATTGACATCCTTTCCAAACTTTGCGACCTTTGCGTCAGCGCAACCTTCAAGTTGCTAGGGTGGACAACGTCGATCGACAAGGAGCACCCCTTTGACAGTGTGGCGAAGGTGTTAGGCTTGAAGATCAACCTGGAGGAGTCACGACTGGGCCGAATCTTCATGTGTAACACAGAGGCTCGACGGAACTCTTCGACTCCATCTCGGAGGTCCTCGAGGCCAATTCGCTTGGTCGAAAGACTGGGGAACGACTTCGTGGACGCCTGCAGTTCGCCGAATCGCAGGTCGCTGGAAAAGCGGCCGGGATGGCTTACAAGCAGTTGACCCGCTTTGTGTGTGCGGGCGGTGGTACTTTGGATGAACCCACCACGGCGGCCTTGTTAACTTTACGGGACCGGGTGAACTTTGGTTCGCCGCGCTGCATCAACACCAACACGATGAACACCCTGCACATCTACGTCGACGCGTCGTGACAAGGTCGGCTTGGGCGGAGTGCTTATCAATGAACAGGGCACGCGGCTCGGCTACTTCAGCGAGTTCGCTTCTGAAAGTGTGATCTCGAAGGTCAATCCTGCAAGTGGAAACCCGATCTTTGAGTTTGAGTGCCTAGCGATCTATACTGCAATCCACTTGTGGCGGGATCTTGCTTGCGGAACGAATACCGTCGTCTTTACCGACAACGAGGGAGCGTTGGCTTGCATGATCAATGGCACTTCGGGCAACGCTTATGGTGCAATGATTGTACAAAGTACCCATGATCTCTGCGACGCCAGCTTCTTGAATCCTTGGTTCGAACGTGTAAACACAAGTTCCAACATTGCCGATGACCCCTCGCGGGGGGTATGCAATGCAGATCTTGGCAAGCGCTTCGAAGTGTCCCTTGATGTAGTGGCCGACTTAGCTTTGAGACGTGGGGGTGAGTGAGCAAAGCATGCCGACCACATGCTTCATGGATGCATGCTTTGGCATGCCTGTTCAAGAACGTATGCACTGGCATGCGACGTTGGATGCTGATGCATTCAACACTTCTCCTCGCCATGCGAAGGCATGCGAGCTGCTCATACGAATTCGCCCCGCGTCTAGTGTAATGAAAAAGAGTGAACGCGTCCCGCAAGGGTTGAGCTGATGATTGCACTCTTTGATGATTCGAATTATATGGAAATATATTTATACCGATTGAACATTTGGTGCCAAGCACCGAATACCATGTGATTGACAAGTTGTACTTTGATTGATTCATTCTTTGAACGAAATCAATCGATTCAGTTTTTATGAAGAGACTTTTCGCATGGTACACATAACAGAAATAAGACTACCTTCCATCGAGATGGACGGGTCTTTATTTCTGGAAATGTGTTTCCTTTATCGGAAACTGCGTTTCCGAATTAATTGCGAAAAGTTTTTCATTGAAATTTTAATAGAAACTTTCATGAAAACTTTCATGGAAAGTTCGTGAAGTTTGGATACCTTTCACTTGTGAAACATGTTTGACATGTCTCTCCATGTGCATGAGTGTTGGATCATGAACATCCGAACACAGCTTTGGCTTGGAAGCGAGATCTGGAAATTTTTTGTCCCGCCCTCCCAACCCGGGGGTGAAGCCTCTCTGGCTCGAAATGACTTCGATGTGTGTAGAGGGCTCGGGGCGGCGCATGGTTTTCACTGCTTTACACTGCACTTTTGCTGTGCTCTTGTTCAGCTGGAAGGATTGCTGCGCTCCTGAAATCGCATGGTGCGGAGAGTCCGGTGGGACCCAGCAGATGCATGCAAGCCACCAGTGCAATTGGAACATGGGGTCGGTTCGGCCCAGAACTGATGGCTTAGCTCAGCAGCGAGCAGAGCTCGAACATGCACCTGATAGGGCACACTGCGAGTATAGTCAATTTTGGGGCTTATTCGAAGAACAGATGCACCGTGGTCAACATGATGAATTGCATGGTTTTTGGCATGGACATGGTTGCGATTTTCATGCTTCTTTTCATGGTGACTCTTACCAGAATTTTCGAGCAGCTCTTTTACATACAACAGCAAGACGGCCAGTGCCGGTCCCAAGTCCGGCAGCGCTTCAGGACATCTATTCAGAAGCCGACGTTTTACCTGAGCGCAGAGGCGAGGGTCGGCGGGTACCACAGCCTGCCGGAAACCATTACAATGCTTTTTTCCGAGCTTCCGTGGGTGAAGCCAGTGGACAGAGGACATTCATATGTGGTCAAGCGCGCCTACAAACGCGCGTGCAAAAGAGCTTTGTTTTCACAGACACGACACACTTGGTATAGAGGCCAGTGGATCTCCGCAGCAGCACTGTGCAGTCAGTATGTTCCTGGTTTTGCAGCGCCGGAGCCCCCCAAGAAAAGCCGAGGAGCGAGTGTGCAGGCTACAGCCAAGCACTGCAAACTTCTTTCTTGGAACACAGGAGGCCTAGCTGATAACAATTGGGACATCCTGCAGAACTGGTTGGCTGACAACTCCGTCCAGCTTTGCTGCATACAAGAAACTAGATGGAATCTGGAAAGGACCTGGAATAATGGTCATTACCATGTTATCCATCATGGCCAAGGCCGATCCGGAGGGCTCATGACGTTGATTCATAACCGACTGGCTGAAGCAGGTTGCATTCGGTCTGACACCATGGCCAACGGCAGGATCCAGCACACACGGATCTATGATCCGGACGGTGGCGTGGACATTATAAATGTCTATCAGCGCGTCTGGGCGCACGGTGCCGTTGAAGAGGTCAAGGCCCAACGCAAAACGGTCTGGACGGCACTCAACAAGTGCCTGGACGGGATCCCTGCTCGAAACCAAGTATTGCTGTGTGGAGATTTTAATACGCAGCTGCCGCGTTGTAAAGGAGTCACTGGCACAGCAGTCGGGAACACGCAGTATAGGGATGCGAGAGATGAACATGAGCTACTAGACATTCTCCGTTTGCACGGACTGGTGGCTGCCAATACTTTTCATGATGCTAAACGTTACACCTACTGCGGCCCAGGTTCTCGCTCCCAGCTCGACTACCTCTTCATGCGCTCAAATCAGGCCACGGGCCTCAGCAAGCAAGCGCGTGGCCTTCACAGCTTTCCGATGTTAGCTGCCCGGGGAGAAGGTTACCATGTTCCGCTGTTGGCGCACGTGCCTAGGAAATGGCGAGTTTGGCGCTACGGCAGTGCGCCTCGTAAGCCAAAAGGACCCAGCAGGCTCCAGCCATCTTTCAGGCGTGGCGTCACATGCAGCAGTTCCGCAAGCTCATCAAATCGACCCGGGCTCCATGCAGGCGACTCAGGCGACAGCAGCTCTTGAACATCCTTAACGATGCCCAGTATCAAGAAAAGAAGCGCAACATCCATGGCATCTACAAACTGGTCGATCGCCTAGCGCCCAAACGCACCCAGGTCAAGCCACAGATGCGAGATGATCGGGGAGTCCTACTAGATGCTCGCCAGGAGGCCGAGAAAACGGCCAGCTACCTTCGGCGTTTGTATGTGGGCCAGCCCTGCGAGGACACCCTCATGTTGATGCCGGGCGTGGGCCATGTCCTGACTACACAGGATATCTATGAAGGCTTGCGAGCCATCCCAGTGAACTCTGTACTTCGAGGAACCTTTGGTGACGAGGCAGATCGGCTTCTGGACTACTTTGCAGACGACACCTTGTTGCATCAGGAATTTGTCACCGCCCAGGGTTTCCGTCAGGCCATTGAACGTGTGGGGAAGTTGCTCGAAGTCCTGGCCCAGGCAGGCCTAAGCGTAAACGATGACAAAACACAGGTGCTCCTTCGGCTTGCGGGTAGTCGTGCTAAACATTACCTTCATGAAGTTACTGAAGAACGACGTGATGGCAGGTTCTTGAGGGTCTCGGCATTGTGGGCGCAGAGATTCTTACCCGTATGCAGGCAGGCCAAATACCTGGGAGCACAGTTATCGTATGATACATATGAAGACGCCGCTGTACAACACAGGGTGACGGCTGCGAGAGCTACATATGGTCGCCTACGCCGCATCCTCACCAGTCGCAGCAATCTCTCTCTTACTTCCAGAGTTCGTTTGTGGTCTGCGTGCGCGGGGGCGGGGCTGTACTACTCGCTAGACTCCAGCGGCCTCACGAACAACGGCTTGCAGAAGGTCCGGGTATTAGTTCAGCAACAGCTGCGGGCCATAGCCCGCATGCCGGCTCACATCACGCATGTCAGCAATCAGGAGCTTCTTGATCGGCTTGGGGTTTGCGAGCCAGGGGCCCACATCCTTCACAACATGAAAGGCCAGTTGCGACGCTGGCGGGAAAACGTGGAGCATGACGATCCTCTTCCCATTAAAGCGCAGGCCGACATTGGCAGATGGCGGCAGCAGCGAGTGGATGAGCTGACAGCCCAACTTCAGCAGGAGCAGAAGGCAGGGCGAAGTGTACTCACATGTCCGCATTGTGGTTTGGAGTGTGCAAATCAGTCAGTGCTGGGCTCACATATCTCCCAGAAGCACTCGGTGGCACCAGTCGTCTTCAATCGTCTATTGCATTCTACTGGAGGCATGCCGCGTTGCTCTGGTTGTCACGTGCTTATGAGCTCCTGGGCTAGATTGCAAAAACATATCGAGCACGGAGCTTGTCCCACCCCGATTGAGACCGGCGCGCCTGAGGCCACACAGACGTTGACCAAAGATGAGGGCGATGCTCCGAGGATCGAGCCTGAGCCGGAGCCACCAAAACCACCGCCCGAACCCTCTCCCTGTGATCAACCGTTGATCTTGCAGCCTGCAGTTATTGCTATCGTGCGTGAACATGGTTGGCGCAAGCTCGCTTCCAACACTACTTGGAGGCCCAAGCTCGCTCAGTGGTGCTGTTTGTGCGGGACATGGTGTGTTTCAAACCGAGCAGTCAAGATGCATCTGGCCAAGTCTCACAAAGCAGTTTGGACACAACATAAGCATCGGATTGAAACTCTTTGCAAAACTCAGCTTGCTGATATCACAGTTCCCTGTGGCCTGTGCGGTTCGGTCTCCAAGGATCCCCGAGCACATGTAGTTGCGTGTCCTGTTCTGTTTCAATCACTTCTGATTTCTTTGGTGACCCAAGATGGCACACGCGGCTGAAGCGAACTTGTTCAGGCACTTGCTACCAGTGGGAAGTCAGCAGAGCACGACAGGCACACCGGGCACAACGGCATCAACTCCAACATCAGCGACGCCACCGTCGACCAAACGGCCCAGGACGGACGAACAACAAGGACGACGACCACCACGACGGGGCAAGCCTCAGGAGCGCAATGCACGACAGGGGCAGGGAAACCAGGATCGGGACATCAACAAGCTTGTGGAAGCCGCGGCCAAGCTGACGCTGAAGCTGGCGGACGAGCACCAACTGCTGCTTCAGGACTGTGGCTTCACCTGGTTCGTGAGCACGGAGCGGGGGGGGGTTCTCCCCATGATGTACGGCATCAGCTCGGAGTGGAAGAAGTTGAAGGAGGAAACCCCCCAGCAGATCACACGGCCTCTGCACGCGCTCATGCTGGAGTGCATTGTGATGGAGCTTCAGGCTCGCGTCAAGAAGGCGGCGGAGGACTCCAATGTGTGCGAGGCGGCAGTCCAGGCGGGGTGGTGCACGGAGTCGGGAGCGTGGTGTTACAAGACGTGGGACCCGATCAAGAAGGAGCTCGTGGCGACGACCCGGGAGCCCCTGACGACCGTCACCATCGAGAACACCATCATCGAGATCCTGGCGGACATCAAGGAGCAGGGGGTGTTGCACAAGTTTCACGCCTCGCAGACATTACAGGCGGATGCGAACATGACGGCGGAGACCAAGGAAGTCTGCTTCACGATCCAGGTGTCCCTTCGGAATGCGGGCGAGCGGCTGCATCGCAACTTGTCCCTGCTGTGCGACAACATGGTCCTCAAGCTCCTGGGCAGCAGGTTGCGGCAGGAGCGCAAGCACCGACACGGCCTGGCAAAGCACCTGGAGGGGCTACTCTACAAGCAGCGCTGGCCCTACGTTTGCGTAATCATGGTAACACATGTTACGTCAACGCCTTGGTACACATTCTTACCTGGATGTTAGCTTGCAGCGGTCTTCAGGTGAACAGCTTGGGCATGGGGCAAACCGCTTGGCGCACCATTTTGGTGCAGTGCAAGGCCTTCAATGTCATACAGCTTTTTGCTTGGAATGCCATGATGTGCGGATGGACGCATGGCGGACGACAGCATGATATCTGTGAGTTCTTTTCTCATCTGATGTGCAGGTTCGGGGCTTCGCCATTTCATGGTATATGGAATGCTAGGGTTTTGGAGGCTGGACGCCTGCAAACTCCTGTTACTGGCGCGTGCGAGCAGATGATACTGCTGGATGTTCCAATCTCTGGCCCATGGCACCTGCAGGCAGCGATAGATGCATGGCATCGCCAGGCTTTTCCTCACGCTTTGGTGTCGGCGCCCCAATGGCTTGCAATGCGGTTTAACAGATTTCAACAGCAGACGCCGACAGGACCGCTCTGCAAAGTGAGGGCGGCTCTGAGTTGGTGCACGGAGCTCTTACTTCCTGAGTTTACCGAGGGCTTGAGTGTTCAACATGTTCGGTATCGAGTTTGCGCTTTCGCTGTGCACTTAGGCGATAGTGTCACGTCTGGTCACTACAGAGCTCTTTTGTACAACGCAGACACGGGAAAGCTGCATTACTGCGACGATAATGCTCGAGCTGTGTTACTTAATGACTTTCATAGTGTTTCTGGCGATGTTTACGCGGTCTTTTTAGCTCGAATGCATTAGCAGTGTGCACGGGGCTTTTCCTTTTGGGGCAACATGTAAATACATGTTTTTCGCTTGCGGAACCAAGAGTGCTACACAAAGTGCTCTTGTTTGCCACCACGAGTGGCCGCTCTTCAGAGAAGAGTGAAGTCCTTCTCACACGACTTACCGTTGTGGAGCCCGAAAGAAAGAAGAACCCGGGGGTGAGTGAGCAAAGCATGACGACCACATGGATGCATGCTTTGGCATGCCTGTTCAAGAACGTATGCATTGGCATGCGACGTTGGATGCTGATGCATTCAACACTTCTCCTCGCCATGCGAAGGCATGCGAGCTGCTCATACGAATTCGCCCCGCGTCTAGTGTAATGAAAAAGAGTGAATGCGTCCCGCAAGGGTTGAGCTGATGATTGCACTCTTTGATGATTCGAATTATATGGAAATATATTTATACCGATTGAACATTTGGTGCCAAGCACCGAATACCATGTGATTGACAAGTTGTACTTTGATTGATTCATTCTTTGAACGAAATCAATCGATTCAGTTTTTATGAAGAGACTTTTCGCATGGTACACATAACAGAAATAAAGCACTTGGGGTTTTATACGGTGACCTCTTGCGGGATAGGATCCAGGGTTAACTCAGACAGTAGGGCTAACAGGGTGGGGGAGAATCTTTATATACTTATATATGTATATATGTATGATATTTACAGACATCTCGGTGTGTATATATATATATATATGCTGTACCTATGTACGTATATCTAAGCACAGACACACACATATATGTATATATACATACATACATACATATATATATATATAAATGCGTATATATACATAAATATTTTATACAGAGGTGTACGTATGTAGCATATTTAGCACATGTCGCCAGGATGACACACCATGGGAGGGCGGAACCTTCCAGCTTGAGGCATGCCCGAGTGTACGGGCAAAGCTTTGTTGTTGCATTTTTACGTGGTGGAGTACGTATTCCTGTTGGAAGGTTACGTTTTCCGAGGAGTTCCCGACGAAGCCTCCGCATGTAAGATTCTTGACGAAGGCCTGTTAGACTACACGGGCTGGCATTCGGATCATTTGCAGCTGCCTTCGTTTGAACCCTCGATCACAGATGTTTCATCCGAACATCTACAACAACGGGGAGATCTGCTTGGACATCCTGCAGGAGTTGAATCGTTTTGGTCTGTCATTAACTTCATGTTCCGACACTGGTCAGTGTCCCGCTATTTGTCGGTAAGACCGAGATGTTGCAGTGGTTTGTCTGCGTTTCGGCTTCGAGCTGAGAAGTCAAGCCCCAAAAGGCAGGGGGCAAATCCACAGACTTAAGTGACTTAAGGATTGTCTCAGCCGAGGTAGCCAAGTGTTTTTGAACAATGACTTTCGGAGAGTTTCACTTGCGATCTGTTGGGTTCAGATTGAACGTGAGGCACACTCTCCAGCCTTTAGCCTGCTGGGTCGGTCACATCCTTTTGATCGCCATGTCCGATTTCTCCGTGGACTTCACCAAGAGCTATGCGCGGAGACGGCCGGAAGAGCCGGCAGCTCGCAAATCCTCTCCGCGGGACCATGACCTACCATGCGAGACTCAGGCCTCGTTCGCACTACTCCCAGCGCCTGAAGTTCATCAACACCCTGATCAAGGGAGTGAAGCTCAGAGCGGGCTCGAGCAGGATCTAAGGGTTCTGACTGCGTCCCGCATGTCAGGTGAGGGTGACAAAATCACGGATGATCGCATTGAGGTTCTTTCTCATTGCCGCGCCGACGATTATTTGAACATAACTACTAGAAGGTTTTTTTGGTATTTGCGGGTGTGCACACAACAGGCTATAGCAATGTCAAGTACTTGGCCAATGCAAGAGGCCAAGAAATGTGTGGCGTTGGATGAATAGTTATGCGTGACATGGCTGTTCTGAGCCGATGCATCCAAGGTGTACAACGAGGAAATTATGGGCATGTTACGGAAGTACGTCGCTTCGATTGCAGATGCATTGCGGCTCCGCTGTCCTTTTCCGGAGAGATGCAAGCTTGACTGAGGATCCGGAAATACAATGACCACAAGGCCGGGTCGAATGTGGCATCAGCGCTTAGGCTCCATGAAGTGTGGTTTTTATTGGGTGCCGCCGTGCCGCATCAAGGCTCACAGAGGCCCTCAAGGGGCCTGCTGTAGTGCCGCATTGGCTGCTTAAAGGTTTGACAGCCACTCATGCGTAGGTGCTCAGGTTATGTTCTTCCGTTAGTTCTTTCTGCGCTCGTGTGTAGGAACCCTTGTCGAAGTGGATGGCTCCTCAATGACTCCGACGCGGGCTGCAGTGAAGCCGTCTCTGCCACTCTCTGCTCGAGATCTAGCTCGCCGTGCTCAACGATCGGAGCACATTGCCGAACTACCTGAGGTTGCGTCTGCGGTCCTGCCGCAGCACCTGAGTTTTCTTCGCACTCAACGAAAACAGGCGGAGGATGTGAGTGCTCACGATTTTTTCCAGAGGCAAGATCTTCATCAAAAGATGAGTTCTTTGGCTCTGTCAGACCACTTCGACAGTTTTGGTAAATGCCGTTTCCAGCGGCTGGGATTGGCATTTGCGGCCAAGCAGTTTACTCCGAAACCTGTGGCCCCTCAAAGGTCTTTAACTGAGTCTCTGACAGACGAGACAAGGAAGCCTTCTGCAAAGGCATTCATCTTGTCACAGGAGGCACTCGCTGCAGACTTCGAGCGCTGGAGTCAGCACACCCGTGGGATTTCTGATTCAATCAAGGAGGTCGACCGCCACAAAGATGCTGATGTCAAGAAGCGGCAATCCGACATTTTGTTTGCAGAACTGCCTTTTTATTTGGAGTTCCTTCCAGAATCGGTTCCGCTTGAGAGTCTGGAGTCCGAGATGGATCGGGAGAAGCCTGGCTTTCCCCGCCGCTGGCCAAGTCAATCCAGAAAATTTCGTCGAACAGAATCGCAGGCTCTTATAGAGATATTCAGGGCATGGTCCTTTGCTTCCTGGCCCCTCGGTGGTGCAGAGCTTGGAATGGATCGTGCCACATTCTCTCGATTTGTACTGGACGTTGGGCTCGTCGACCAAAGGAAGGTTCCGCTCTATTGGAGTTTATCCCTTTTTGATTGCCTGTCACACACCACGCGTGTCTGCGCCAAAGATGATCCGATTCCTATGTCCGCGCCCCTTCTTCCAATGGTAAAGTGGTGGGACATTCTGGCGATAGTTGAGGTATTAACTTGTCAACATTTTCGTACATCAACGACAGCTCTGCGGGTCAAGTTCATTGAGAACGTTGCGGAGATATCCAGATTCCGGCTTCCAGCCTATGCTCTCAAGGCCTTCAACATAAGTCAAGCCCAAATTGAGCTAGTGCTTCAAGGCGTCAAGACCGACTCGAATGAAAGCGATGATGAGCAGGCGAAGGGACACCAGGACCCTCCACCAATGCAGAATCCAAGCCTCAAAAGTTCTAGGCTGTGAGTCGCCAGGAGATGCCTTCAAAAGCTGTTGAGTCCAGGACCTACCGAATTGCAGATCACGCATTAATGTCAGTGACGTGAGTGGCATGCCGATGTTAGGAGGAGTGGCAACGAAGCGAAAGAGTTGGTCGTGCACACAGTGCCCTGATATGTGGCGGGGACATGAGCATCTCGCCGGGTCATTCAACCGAGGGCACTGCAAGCAAAGAGCAAATGGTCAGAATGGAGGAGTTCATTAGTGCTGTCCCTCTGTCCAACTCTCGTCACTCTGCTATCTATGATGTTGCAGGAAGCACGTGGCCAGCGACAGAAAGGAAGCCTGGTGGAGCCTGAGGTCCGCAGTCCGCGGCGTGAGCCGTTCATCCATCGTAAGAGGGCTCGTCAGTTCTTTCAGATCTGTCAGGTGCTTCATCTTTTGTGGCAGCATGAGGCAGTGTTTCAAGAACTCCACGCCGCATATGCGGACCATGAAGGCGGGATTGGCAGCCCACCGTCTTGCTAGATATGCAGTCGGCCAGAGGCCACATGACGTTTGCAGCTCTGACGCAACTTTGCAAAGACTTTTCTCTGGCCGGTCCCCAAGATGCAAGTGGTGCCAACCAACTGTGCCAACAGTTTCTGTTGGCTCGGTAGCTCCGACGCGCAGGCACCGCATCTAATCAGCCTGCACCAACTTCGCAAGATCTACGAGCGAGCAAGCCCAGATGAGCTTCGTACTCTGCACCGGTTAGGGAGTCGAACGATCTCCGCGTGAGGTCAGCCGAATGCTTGGACACGACGACTGGAGCACCTGCTAGGCATCAAGCGATATCAAAGCGTTTGGGATCATTTTCCTGTTTTGCCTTCCAGGATCGACTTGGGAGCTGCTCCCAGTTTCTGTTTGCTGGAAAACGCGGGCACGCTGGCGCTCAAGTGGCTCTTTGTCAGGCCAAGACTTCGGTTTGAAGAAGGGGCGAGGTGCCAGCCCTTCGCGATCACCACAAGTTTGCAGCCCAGCTTTGGAATCCTGCTAGGGGTGCAGGCGGCTTGCATGTCGCATGCGAGGCGTCTGGGCGGCGACGCTCAGTTGATGCCTCCACCACCTCGACCCACTCTGTGTCTGGTTCGCAATTTACGGCTACGTCGTCTACCGCTCTTGTAAGGTTGTCTATGAAAGGCTAGTTCGCTCCCACACATAGTCTAGGCGCTTAGCAGGGGCTGAATTGGCTCGTTGCCGCTTCTTGTTCAAGGCCAACTAAACTGCTAAACATCTAAAGCGCTCTTCCGTGAGGACACTGTTCGGTCGGCGCGGCGTCAGGTTCTCGGACATGCCGTGATCAATGTCCGGCATCGGTCCGCGCTCATTCGGAATGCCACTTAGGCCCCTCAGATGTTAGCGGCCTCAGGAACAAGAGGTGCATGGAGTCCACATTCTGTGCTCTGTCATGCTTTTTTGTTACCGTGCATCCGCCTCACAGTGCCGGCAGGTCAACGATTGTGAGCCTCGGCAAGATCAATGCGAGGCATGCAGCCGTGTCGGATTCGCCATCCCAAAGCCGACGGCGCTCGATAGAGGCAGAAGTGGACGGAAAAAATCTTTCAATCTCGTGTCATGGTCCTGTGCAAGGCCGGCAGCATCTCCGGGCACTCGGCCAATGAACGCTTGGGGCTGCTGCCTCAGACGTTGCATGAGCCTCGCAGAGAAATGCGGCTCTTGAGAGGTCAATGCTTCCTTGGGAGCGTCTTGTTCTGAAGGTGCGCGAGGCCAGAGCCACCAGAACCACCAGAGTTACTGTTCGTGTCGGCCTTGTGCGAGCAGGCGAGCTCTCGACTGCAAACCACTGTCTCCTCGGTCGGTTTCCAAGCCCGGCACCGAGTCGCGAAGGCAGCCGTCCAATAAGTTTCCGTTCTGTGTTTCTCGACTTGAAACCGGCAGATTGTTAAACAGAGTTTTAGAAGCGGGGTTTACAGTGAGCCAAGGCGCTGATGGAGATCCTTTGCAAGGTAGGTAGCGTGTCTTTGTCGAACTCATATTCGTCATAGCTGCAAGTGTTTGAAGGTGGTCTGATCCTGAAGCTCCGTCAGGTCGCCTACACGTACCTGGGCTGCTATGGAAACATGCAACAAAGAAGCCAGAGCCCGAGCAGCTTTCCTGGACCGCAGAAGATGGGGTCTCGGTGAACGATGTGTGTAACAGGCATGTCTCCTCTTCTCCAGACGGTATGGCTGCTGGTGTACTTGTTTAAAGCTCAGATCTGCAAAGCGGAGCTGTTACAGCAGGTTAGTCCTGGACACAGATACGTGTGATCAAGACTGAGGCGCTTCTCCACAGAGAGCTACCGAAGGAGCCTTGAGAAGCGATCAGAGGCAGGCCTCTAGCTCCTTTCGTGTTACTCTCTCTGCCGTGTTGATGCGTGCTTTGTGTCTCTGTGTGTGTGTGTGTGTGTCTGCCTGTGTTGTGTGGCTCTGCGAAGTTGGAACTGCACAAATTTCTTCGAGTGCGGTTTGTGGATGCCAGACCGGAACTGACAACACGGTTGCCGCTGAAGCTGAGACTGGTGCAAGGATGCACGCTCCGGAGCATTGCGTCGAATTACGCCGCTGCTGTTCCTTGCCTAAAACTGATCATTTTTGACAGGGCCTTGCTTGCGCGGCCTCGGTATGGATCTTGCACGGCTGCCAGACAGGAATCCAGAAGTTTGGGCGATCGGCAAGGCTCCGCAGTTTGAGGAGCGACGTTAAGATTCTGCTTCTGAGTCCGATCTGCAGCTGCTTTGGTAGGACGATTTGCCACCCCAAACATTCCGCGATCTTGCGGCAGCCTCCACCGAGGCAAAAGCGTTTGTTTCCTGTCGAGTATTGAAATATCGTTCGGGCGATAGTACCTGAACTCGATCCTTCAAGGGAAGAGGCAACAGACCGGGTTTGTGGGGAAATTCTTGCTGAAGGCCCTGTGGTTCCTTGGATTTTCGGCATCTTGAGGACGTGTCCTGGTTCGCGTACAGAGGGGCACCAACAAGGGTGCATTATTCATTAATGTGTTGGTATGGTTCTGCCGTGTTCTGCCTTTCTATGTTCTTGTTGGTTCTCTCGTGGATGCAGTTCCCTGTGAGCCAAGAGACATGTGTTGGACAGGGGGCAGCCCTCTGCATTGCAGATGAGACCTGTCAGTTATGCAACGTGCCAGCAAAGAGTACAAGGAGTTGGGGAAGTATTGCATGTCGGCTGCACAGCACGTCAGGCATGTGTGGCTGGAAAGATCATCGCCAAAGCTCCGTTCAATCACTCTTTTGAAATGGGGCATTAGCTGTTGTCCGTCGCCTTCGAACTAGATTCCTGAAGATTCAAGCATCTGCGGTTCAAGGGTTTTCGTCAGAAGCATATGTGCGATTCGAGCACATCCCACTTCGAGCAGCAGTGGTGGTACTTGTAGAAGCAGTACTAGTATCGGTAGTGGAGCGGCAGTGGCACTGGCACTAGTAGTAGCAGGAGTAGTAGTCAGTCGTTGTGGTGGTGGTAGTAGCCTGAGATTGGACAGGTCATGGGGCTGCAAGCTTCATGCGCAAAGCTTACCAGAAACTTGAAAAACAA